TTCATTGTATCTCATTTATCACTTTCACGGGTTTATTACGAATCAACTTAACGGCCTGCTCCCAGTTGGCTTGTTAGCTCAATTGGTAGAGCGCTGCACTAGTATCGCAGAGGTCAGTGGTTCGAGTCCCGTACAGGCCTGATTTTTTTCAGGTCTGACTTTCGCTATTGCATAAATAGCGCTATCTACTGCGAGGATCGTGCATCATACGTATCTAATACCGCAGTGCAAAATATATGAACTTCATATATTCATAGTATCTCATGACTAGTATTATTGTGTTGGTGTAAAGGTGCTTTTTGCAGACATGATGTTCCTAAAATGTCCAGGCATCAGATACAGTACTTCTTTGTGTATAGCCCAAATTTTACTTTCTGCAATTGGTATTCAGCTAAAACAGAAATATGGAAGGGAAATTGTGAGGTAATTACTCCCTCACCATTAGATCCATGATCCTTGATTTAGCATTTATTCAGTAAGTTGGAGTACTCTAAATATATCTGGGATATAAGTGTTTTTGAGTTAATTGGCTGTACTTCCCTCTTGTAATAGAAACACTGGGGCACCTGAGAGAGGATTTGGTAGTGTACTTCCAAGACATTCACTTGACCATGGAAAGAGGTAAATTTGTCATTACTTAAGAATTCCACCCTTCCACCAAGTTTTCTTGTGGCAAAATTATGGAAGCTTTGCCTTAGTAGTTTCGAAGAAAAAAAACTGGTAAAAAAAATCCACCTAAAAACTAAGCTCAAAAGTGCTACATTTTGCTGACTTCTCTTTCTCTGTTAAGAATATGTAGCGTCCTTTTCTGATCCTGTGAAAACAATACTCAATATAGGACCAATGTTAACGGTACCATTTTCAGACCAGAATAGCTGAAAAACCATACCTTGTGCGACAGCTTCAGGTTTAGAGAGAGTACCCCCACTACTATTCCCCTCCCCTCCCCTCTCACCCCTTTACTGAGTACGTTTTAATAGAATGTTTCACCTGTGCATCAAGTTAGTCAAAAAGATATCATGTGATTCAATTATTTTCAATTCTTTTTTAACTGCAGAATACCCTGCCACTTATTTACATGTCACTGAATAAGAATAGCCTCTATTTGTGTTATCTTCGTTCTTCACAATAGAGGCTATTCTTATTCAATGACATGTAAATGAGTGGCAGGGTATTCTGTAGTCTAGCTTCTTTTTTTTTCAATGGTGTGGATTGTGAAAAGCAAGAAAAGAAATGAATAAAGGCTGATAGCTTCTAAAGAAACTGTTTGGGGCTGCGTCGGTGGGGGTAACGAAATAATTTTAATATATCAACAAAGTTGAAATGGTAAATGGACACATCGAAACCAGTCGCTAGACATTTTTATTTACCTAACCATTCTAAGCAACACATGGCAATCTGCGGTCTTTCCTTACACTTAGGTAGCACGGCAAGCTGAAAAACTCTTGAACAAAGGCTCATCTTTCAAACCGGCTGTCTAAATCGCACAGGTATCAACGAACGCTTTTCGTTCCACTAATTTATTCGTGTTTTTCTCGTTGCCATGTTTCCACCAATCACGTAGCTCCTTTTTCTGCATTTAAAAGCACACACAACCCACAATTCCCCTATTCGCTCCGACGAAGGGCTAACGCTAGAAACGTCAGCTTTTATAATCGTAAAGTTGGCCAATTTACCATTTCAACTTTGTTGATATATTCAAAGGAAAAAAAAAAAACAGATACAAGTACTACGTTTGAACTATTTGCAGGTACCTTGACACCACATACAGAGTGGATTATGATTCTCCGTATCCATATCAAACACAAAAGGTAACATACTTCTCTAGATGTAAACACAATGTGTTTGAGATGCATGCACGTTACATTACTACACCCAAATTGCGTGTATAATTTAGCTTCCGCGCTGATTAGTTCACCTAAACACAGGGGCGGATCCAGGATTAAGTCAAGGGGGTTGGGAGAATTGTCCGAGGGCATGCTCCCCAGGGAAATTTTGAAAATTAGGTCTTCGGAAACATAATTTCTAGCATTTTGAGGGAAAATTTAGGGGGTTCGACCGAACCACATGAACCACCCCTGGATCCGCCCCAGTAAACAGCGTGCTCACTCCTTCCAGTTCCTCTCTTTCTTCGTTTTCGCCGTCCTTAGCGGCGTACAAGAGAACGCTAGCGTCGAAGAAAGCACTCGGTGGGTTCAAAGCTGTTTTTATTACAACAAGTATTTCTATGATAATTTATATTTCGTTTATAATCTTTGTTTTGATTGTTCAGTTACAGTTGTTTTCGTTAAAATTCCCAAGCGCGTACTATACTACGCGTAGAGCGCGTGCTTAATTACAAGCCCGAGCGCACGCGCGCAAGGGGAAATCGAGGCAAAGCCGAAAGCGAGCAGTAGCAAATGCAGTTTTGCGTTTTTGTGAAGAATCGAGTGGACGAATGACCAAAACTAATCGGAAGGAAGTTGTAGCAGTTTCCGATTTTCAGCGCAAAAAATTACGAAAAAAAGCTAAAAAAAAAAAAAGAGAAAAACATTCAAAAGTTTTTCTCTTGAAATAATTTTCACTAACAGCAGAAGTTGAAAAACTCCTACTATTAGAGAAATCAACTACGATTCAGGTGAATTTTACAGAAGCACTAAAAAAACTCATACCTGGTAAAACATCATCAGTAATGAACAATTGTAATTCTTTCTCGTTCTCATTCTGTGTCATTCGGTTCTCCGGGTTCTTCACCAGACTCCTCCTCCAGAGCCCGACCAGTCTGCGCTTTGGCGGAAGTACCACTCCCAGTTTACCGATGTGGACGACTACAGACGACACGGACCAAACACGTGGCACAATGAGTCAGGAATTTACGCTAACACAGCTGTACGAGAACATGTTTTACAACCTACAAATCCTATACCAGAACGGCTTGGCTGATGTCTGGAGTTACATAAGAGATGTTTTGGACTTTTTTTAATCTTGATAAGCAAAGTTAGATTGACATTCTTTTGCTTTTAATTTCACGTTTTCCCCTTTTCTAGTTGTATTGATAAGCTAAAGATATGGTGTATTTGATGACCAAATTTGTTTGAATTTACAGATTACTTTGCTCGTTGTTGAGTCTGTACTTTTAGTACTGAGACGAAGCAATCGGTGAATTTCCAGTATATGTAACAGAGTGCAATTATGTGCGCAACCTTTGTGATACCATAAGATTTTTAATTGCAATAATGGGAACTAATTAGAAATCAGTTCTTAAACATTGCAGTGTCTAATCAGGTATACGTATATTTACCCCTTTCCGTCATGTCAGCGAGGAACGGTCAAAAAATCAATAATCGAAATCAAATTCTACTTGGCACGGATCCTTGGCTATCAGTTCCTAATCTTCCTTTTTTCTTAAGGGAAACAGATACTGGAGGGAAAAGATGATCGTGAACTTGCGTTATGCTGGGGCGCACAGTGCAAAAAATGTATAGAGTTAACTCGCCAAGGAGCAAGAGGAGAACCAGCCCATTTTTCACGTTTGGTTTTTTTTTTTTTTTTTTTGTATTGTTTATTTCATTTTAATCGAAAAAGTGGGGAGGGTTTATAGAGAAGGATGATTAACTGCAGTTCTCTTCTTTAGGACGACTGAGAATTCGAGGAATCTCCTTGATATCTTTGAAAGAGAGAAAAAAGATCGAACAGTTGTCTGGCGCTCCGCTGTACTACACTGTTTCAAGAACAAGAATAACTTTAGTCCATAGATAAAAGGAGCGTAAACACATTTGAAAGGAGGAGAAATTATTGTCCAAAATTTATGGAATATTTACGTCTATCCTTCTCTATAATAACCTACATTCAGTTACGTAACATTTGCCACCAAGGGCGTTGCTTTCTTTCTACTGATCATGAGTTCTCTAAACAACTTTCTACTTTATTCCCGAAGCTTTCAGAAGAGAAGATTGAAGTTTTTCTTGTATTCGGCTGTAAGGCTGTTGGCCAGGTCAGTCATTACCACCAAAGGCTTTGTCAAATATTGTAATTCCCTGCTGATCAGGTGCCCGTCGCT